GACGTACCTGCAGAAAATTGAGCACCGGTTCTGTGTAAGAGAATTCAGGTGTCTCTTGAGTAGGGGGGGGGGGGTTAGCTTAGGTGAACCGTCCAAGGTATGCGGATTCCTGGTGGTATGAGAATTTAAGATAATGTACTCTTATGTGGAACATATATAAAATTGGCATAGTAAGAGTTCTGGGGGGGGGTTGCCGTGAAATACCGTCCCCCTCCCCCCCCAATGTACATAATGCTTGTTAAGATTTAACGTTACTATTATACTTGCAGAACATTCTTAACATATGTTAACCAGTAATAAGTAACCATATATGGCATGTATCACATTTAACAAGCAAGTCATACACTATATATATAAAAAAAAAAAAATGTGTGAAGTTAATTTAACCAGCATCTTATTTAGCAGTATATGTGTAAAACACAGATGTTTATATATAACAGTACTTAATGTAATTTACTATTAATTCAACATATAAATAAACCATTGTAAACATATTGATCGAAGGACTTGCCTGTTTATGCATAACAAGTGGTGGTGGCTGGCTGAACTAAGGGTCAACCAGCAGCAAAGAATGACCCCTTAAGCAAGGTGCCCACCCCCCTCCCCAAGTGTGGGAACAGGGTGGGAACAGGGTCCCCTAACGTTATAGGGGTCTGGTTGTGGCCTGTCCCTGTTCCGGCAGTAAGACCCATACCACTCTCCCCCTTCCACCCATCCCCCCCTCCCCTTCCCTATGAGCGAGATTCCCCCCGGTGGCCGGAAAACAGAGACTCCTAAGTAGTAATGGAGTCTCTGTTCTGTGTGCCCGTGTGGGAGCTCATCTTACCGCCCGGACCAGGGTAGGCGAGGAGGGTTGAAGAGACCGCCGTTCGGGAGCCGGTGGAGCCGCAGGAAGTTGGCGCGTGACGTCAGAGGAGGGCGCCGCGTCTCGCCGGAAGTGACGAATTGAACCAGGAAGTCGGGAGCGACGGAGGCCTGCGAGTCAAGGCTGTTCGTCTAGACCAACGAAGGTAAGTGAGGGAAGAGGGGAGTCCCTTTAAGTAGGTCTATTGCCCCTCCCACAAATTCAGGCCCTGCCTTCCAACATATGTATTTAAATTATATTTGTATACTTATGTAGTTATGTAATTATATATATTTATCTATATATAAATATTTGCAGTTATTTGTATTTTATATATAGAATTTCATTCTAAGTGTATTTTGTTACCAATATAAATATATATTAATAACAAAATACAGTTAGAATGAGATTACATATGTAAATATAATTTATTTACATTTTTTTTTAAATATTCTATTTATTTATTTTATTATTTTATTATTTACTATTGTAATTATACGTATATATATATAAACATAAAATATATATATATATATATATGTGTATTATATATACAATATATATATATATATCTTATATATATGTAACATCATTCTAAGTGTATTTTAATACTAATATATGTACTTATATTAACATTAAAATACACTATGTATGACGTTACATAAATATAATATGTATATATATATATATATATATATACTTTTAATTTATTTTAAACATGTTTAATTAATTTTTTTTTATATACTTCCCACCAGCATGGGGACTGTCTGACATTTCAGACAGTCCCCCTGCTGGCAGATCCACAGCCAGCTATAGGGGGCCCTGTGATCTCTCTTTGAGAGCGATCACATGGCCCTGGGGGCCTGATTTGCCGTGTCAGGCAGCTCTCCAGAAGAGGATCGCGGCGGAGATGAGTACCGCCGAGCTCCTGGGGGTGAAAGCCGTTACGGCGTTCTATGCTGCTGCAACGGCTTTAAAGCCCATTATAAAACGCCGCAACGGCATTAAGGGTGAAATACTACCGAAATTTTTATTTTCTCCTGCAGTGCATTGCTTTTTCTGCACTGCTCATTTAGTCATAAAGAGCACTATTAGACAGTTGGCTCGTTGGTCTAGGGGTATGATTCTCGCTTTGGGTGCGAGAGGTCCCGGGTTCAAATCCCGGACGAGCCCACATTTTGCTTTAGAAATACTAAACTAAAAAAAAATTATTTCACCCGAACAGAATTTTTTTGTTCATTGGTACATTCATTGTTGGACAAAATTCAGCCATTATTTTAGTTAAGAAGTAACATTTAGGCGAATGGAAGTCCGCTCAGCGCATGCCTCTCACAGAACACAAAAGGCAAGCAGTCTCCGGCACTGGCAGTCAGTCCGACTGTCACTATGACTTCAGTATATATTTAGTTAATATTTATTTAATGCAAAGAATGGATTGGAGAAAGATTTTCATTATCTACGCTGACCCTTGCACTTCTACTTTACTTTGAATAGTAGTCTAGTCAGATATTCAAGTAGTTAGTCAATGCCCTGGGCCAGCAGCATCATCTCAATCTCTCCATTGGAATCTTTTTCTTATTCTCCTTTACACCAGTTGGTAATTTTTTAAATATTTTTAAATCTATTATTAATTAATTAATAATTTATTTAATTATATAATGAATTAATATACATATAATAAAGAAAGAGATTTTCTTCCTGCAAATTAAATTGAAGTTACGTTTTTTTAATTCTATTTCCAGTTGAAAGAGTGTACTCAAGCCATCCGAATGGGCAAAAAAAAGGCTTTAAAAATATATAAAGGCAATCAACACAGTAAAGGAGGAGACTATATTTAAAAGACGAAAAACTATCACAACAAGAGGACATAGTCTTAAATTAGAGGGACAAAGGTTTAAAAATAATATCAGGAAGTATTACTTTACTGAGAGGGTAGTGGATGCATGGAATAGCCATCCAGCTGAAGTGGTAGAGGTTAACACAGTAAAGGAGTTTAAGCATGCGTGGGATAGGCATAAGGCTATCCTAACTATAAGATAAGGCCAGGGACTAATGAAAGTATTTAGAAAATTGGGCAGACTAGATGGGCCGAATGGTTCTTATCTGCCGTCACATTCTATGTTTCTATGAGTGGTACTAGGGAGGGATAGGGAATGGATATGGGCCCAGGAGCTTTCTTCTAAACTGTGAAAGAAGATCAAGATTAAGCAAAAAGGCATTGTAAAGCATAATAGCCTTTTTCTTAATTTTGTTTTATTTTATTTTTCAGCAGTGTTTGAACCCAGGACCTCCCGTGCTCTAAGCAAGAATCATACCCCTAGACCAACAAGTAACAAGATTTGATTACTGGCACACCAATTTTAAAGTAGGATACTGCGGAACTAGAAAAAGTGTAGGTGTGGGTTACATAATAAAGGGATACTACAGTCACCATAACAACTTTAGCTCTCTTTGTGTATAGATCATGCCTCTAATGTCTCACTGCTCTATTATCTGCCATTTAGGAGTAAAATCCCTTTTGTTTCTGTTCATGCAGCCCCAGCTACACCTCCCCTGACTGTGATTCACACACCTGCCTGAAAAAAAAACTGTTTTATTTTAAATTAAATGTTAACTTACTTTAGAAGCGCATTTCGGCGTGAAACCATGTTTACCCCTGAGGATGGCGTGGTTTCACGCCAAAACGCGCGTCGGGCTTTTCATTATTAGCTCCCTTTTGAAGCACTTCGGCACTATGCACTGACACACAATGGTTACTTTTTTACTTTCTTATTTTTGTTTCTATTTTTGATACTGAGGTAGTGTTTTAGGACTATAGGATTGTCACTTCAGATTTAGCATTTATATAGAACACCCTCAAAGGTGTTTTAAGGACCTATATTGTTTATCAATAGGGATGCCCCATTATTGTCTCTAGGATTTAGAGAGGATTTTTCTTATTTTTTTTTTTCTGTCAATATAGTAGTCACTTTATCACTGCTATCCCTGTCTACCCTTTCTCCTTTTACAACTCTTTAGCTGTTCCTGTTCCCTATGTTTAGGGATTTTTTTATTGCCTTTTCTACCTGCTATTGGACCTTTTTCTTTCCATACCATACCGGGGAGCTATTATTAGCCATTGTTAGATTTTACTTCCATTAGCTGGCAACAGTAATTAGGTAGGATCAGGCTGCTATTCATTACTGATAATACCATACATTTTTCTGACCTGATGTAGTACAGATATTGATTTTTTAGAGCCGATACTGATAATCTGTGAACTTTCAGGCCGATAGCCGATAATTTACCAATATTCTGTACATTTACCATTTTGAAAAAAATAAACTATTTCTAAAGGTAAATGCACAAAATATATATGCCACGTGTAGTGGATGCAGTGTGTTTAGACAGGGGAGCTGTGTGTGTTTGTGTAATGGTGTGTATTTGTGGTGTGTGTTTAATGAATGCAGAGTGTGTTTGTGTAGTGTGTATAGTGAATGTAGTGTTTGTGTAGTGTGTATATAAAGAATGCAGAGTGTGTGTTTGTGTAGTGTGTATAGTGAATGTAGTGTTTGTGTAGTGTGTATATAAAGAATGCAGTGTGTGTGTGTTTGTGTAGTGTGTATATATAATGAATGCAGTGTGCGTGTTTGGGTAGTGTGTATAGTGAATGCAGTGTGTTTGTGTAGTGTGTTCATATAATTCAGTGTGTGTAGTGTGTATAGTGAATGCAATGTGTTTATATAATGCAGTGTGTGTATATAATGAATGCAGTGTGTGTGTTTGGGTAGTGTGTATAGTGAATGCAGTGTGTTTCTATAATGCAGTGTGTGTGTAGTGTGTATAGTGAATGCAGTGTGTTTATATAATGCAGTGTGTGTTTGTGTAGTGTGTGTATATAATGCAGTGTTTGTGTAGTGTGCAGTATATAAACACACTACACAAACACACACTGCATTATATACACACTACACAAACACACACTGCATTATATAAACACACTGCATTCACTATACACACCACACACACACACTGCATTATATACACAGTGTGTTTGTGTAGTGTGTGTATATAATGCAGTGTGCGTGTTTGTATAGTGTGTGTGTATAGTGAATGCAGTGTGTGTGTTTGTGTAGTGTGTTTATATAATGCAGTGTGTTTATATAATACAGTGTGTATTTGTGTAGTGTGTGTATATAATGCAGTGTGTTTATGTAGTGTGCATATATAAACACACTACACAAACAAACACACTGCATTATATACACACACTACACAAACACACACACTGCATTTTATAAACATATTGCATTCACTATACACACACTACACAAAAACACTGCATTATATACACAGTGTGTTTGTGTAGTGTGTGTTTATAATGCAGTGTGTGTGTTTCTGTAGGTATGTAATTTGGGGGTAGGGGGCATTTTCTTTTAAACATTTAGTTATTATTTGTTTGTTTTTTAGTCCCACCCTCCCTGATTATTTCTTGGCCAGGGAGGGGGGGATATAGCATTCCCTGGTGGTCCAGTGGCATGGAAAGTACAGAGGGGGCCCGCAGCAAGCGCTTACTTACCTTCCCAGCAGTTCCCTTCAGCTCACCGGTGTAAATCTCGCAGCCAGCGTGCCGTGTGGAGCGTTGCCATGGTAACCCATGGCAACACTTTGACGGCCGCGGGACTCGTAAGATTTACACCGGGGAGCTGAAGGGAGCTACTGGGAAGGTAAGTAAGCGCTTGCTGCGGGCCTCCCCAAGACCGCCAGGCTTGTCCTGGTATGTATTATCGGCAATATCTTTATTGGACGATACCAATATTGCCGTAAATACCGAATATTGGCCGATAATATCGGTCGATCCCTAGCACCTAGTACCTCTCCTAACTTTTGCATTTGGTCTACCAGGTTATATTCTATGATCCACCTCAGTATTTTCAGTATCATTAATAAAGTTTTTATTTACTTTCAAGACCTTTTTCTAAATTGGGATTTTAATCTAGTGGTCACTCTCTATGGGAGTGGTCTTTTAGGTTTTTCCTCTATATTTATACCCCCAACAGCTACCTATCAAGTAATGCACTTGAAAATTGAGACTCAGACAGTTGTCCAAAATGTAGTACAGACAGAGCAGACATCCACCGCTCACTGACATATGCTCGTTACAGACAAGCTCACTGATACACAGATGCTTACTACTAATAAGATCACTGACACATGCTCACTACAGACAGGCTCACTGACAAACACACGCTCACTGCTAACAAGCTCACTACAGACAAGCTCACTGACACACATATGCTCACTACTAACAAGATCACTGACACAAGCTCCCTACAGACAAGCTCACTGACAAAGACACAGCTGCCAACCGCAACTCACAGTGTATCATGCTATTTTGCGATTTTTTGCTTTTATAAGATTTTTTGCAATATTAGTGCTTTACTATATTTTTTAAATTGCATTCTTTATTTTTGGAAATAGAAAAGCAGAACAAAATGCATTAGATAATAATAATTCATGGCGATTCACAGTTTTGCAAATAACTCTGGCAGTCACTTAAACAGGCACAGTACTATAAAACCAGTGCTGTGTTATCAGTCTAAGATGAAGAAGAAGACTTTATCTTTATTGTCACAAGCTAGGCATAGGGCAAATAGTATCTGCAACTTTGCAAAGTATAAACAGTTGTATTATTGTACAAGCATATTTTTGTATATATCACTCAAAAATATTTTCTACATGCTTGGACAATTTCTAGATTTTATTTGTTGTTTATTCAAAATATTAACACTGCCACGATTATTTACTAAAGTGGGAATTGTGGGGAATTCATAATGCCAAATTATAATTATATTATTTGCCTACGCTTCCAAAATGGCTATTTTGGCCTCAAATTTGAAATTCCATTTGAATTCCAAGCAATTCTCACTGTAGTAGATAACCCTGCTTACATTCCCTTTATGAGTTCCTTTAACACATTTTAATAAAGCAAATTACAATAATAATAATTCATAATTTCACAGAGAACTGTGTATGCTGTACTTCCAAAAACTTGTTTTCAGCATATACATCAATCCAAACTCAGGGAGCGAGCATGACTATTTGCTAAAAGATAGAGCATATTCAGTGTGTCCAACATGTGTTTCCTTGCATGGTAGAGCGCACTTACAGCAACAACCTGTGGAAACAGACAAAAACAAAGTTTAATAAGAAAGGCTTTACCGCCATCATGAATTAATGGGAATCACGTAATCTGGTTTTCTTTAAAGGGTCAATGTTTATGCATTTTATAGGTTTTGGTCTAATCAGCTTTTGTATATTTTTTACATATTTTGCCCCACTCTGCCTGCCCTGTCTAGTGTCCACTCACAATACTCACAAAACATACCTTTAGAGTAACATGTCTTGTCTCCTGTCTCTGTTCGCTTATCTGTCAACTTATCTCTCACTGTCTGCTAAGACAGTTAAAGAGACTAATCCAGACCTAATACCAGGAACGGACTGGGAAAAAAATTTGGCCAGGGCATTTTTTTATTAAAATGACCCAGTGAGAAGGGGCCGGGACCAAAGAGGGAGGAGCAGGCGGGGTTTGTCTTTACCAATGACAAGCATTCCCCCTCTCAAAGTGAGCTTGTTGGTTGAGTGCTCTTCAAAGGCAGCCCATGCGCAGACCCAGCAGAGGACAAAGGGGCCAGGAAAGTGTATTGTCCATGTGTTTGGAGGCTGCTTGTGCGATTACGTGCAGGGCCGGCCTTAGGGGTGCGTGAGCTGTGCGGCCACACAGGGAGCCATGGGAGCAGGGGGCACTCGCACATGGCCGGCCGGGATAAAAAAATATATATTGCGGTGTGGGGCGGAGCTTACATGTGGCGGGGTGGAGCTTACCGTGTGGTGGGTGTGGAGCTAAAAGTTTCAGGTAACTGCTGCAGGGGAAGCAGGAAGGAGTCCCTGCTTCCCCCAAAAACCAGTCTCCAGGAGCTGCACTACTTCCACCTCCATAAGGAACAGAGGTAACTATGTGTGATTGTCTGACTGTGTGTGTGTGTCTATGTGACTGTCTGGCTGTGGGTGTGTGTGTGTGTGTGTGTGTATATAACTGTCTGTCTGTGTGTGTGTGTGTGTGTGACTGTCTGTGTGTTTGACTGTCTAACTGTGTGTCTATGTGACTGTCTGCCTGTGTGTGTGTGACTGTCTGCCTGTGTGTGTGGGTGACTGTCTGCCTGTGTGTGAGACTCTGTGTGTGACTGTCTGCCTATGTGACTGTCTGCATGTGTGTGTGTGTGTGTGTGTGTGTAGCTGTCTGCCTGTGTGTGTGTGTGTGTGACTGTCTGCCTGTTTGTGTGACTGTCTGTGTGTTTGGCTGTCTGACTGTGTGTGTCTATGTGACTGTCTGTGTGTGTGTGTGACTGTCTGACTGTGTCCGTGTGTATGATGGTCTGCCTGTGTGTGAGACAATAAGCCTCTGTGTGTGTGTGTGTGTGTGTGTGTGTGTGGGACTGCCTAGGTGTGACTGTCTCGGCAGACTAGATGGGCCGAATGGTTCTTATCTGTCGTCACATTCTATGTTTCTATGTCTGCCTGTGTGTGTGTGTGTGTGTTTGTGTGTGTGTGTGGCTGTCTGCCTCTGTGTGTGTCTGGTTGTTTGCCTGTATGTTTGTGTGTGGCTATCTGTGTGTGTGTGACTGCTTGCCTGTGTGTGGCTGTGTGTATGGTTGTCTGCCTGTAAGTATGTGTGTGTAAGTCAGACTGTATGTGTGGCTGTGTGTGTCTGTCTGTCTTCCTGTAATTGTGTGTGTGTGTGTTTATCTGCCTGTAACTGTGTATGTGTGTTACTGCCTGTCCCTGTGTGTTTCTGTGACTGTGTGCATGTGGTGTATTTGACATGTGTATATGTATAACTGTGCATCTGACTGTGGGACTGTGTGCACATAACTCTGCAAAAAATATACACCTGCATGCACACATGCTTAAATGCATATTTTTATCTGAATTAACTACCCATCACACACAGCCAATAAACCCAGCACAAATATCACATGCAACCAATACACTTATAACACACACATTTAATACACCTGATGTGAAATCAATCAATTAATTGATTAATCTTGCGTTTCTGCCCCTTGCCAAATTTAAAAAGATGCGTGCACGCTCCTGAGGTAATTCACACCAGACACAGGTTTCAAGTTAATTAAAAACTTGAGGAATGTTTATTCTGGGGGGACGGCAAACCCCTTATAAAGCAAAGTTACATCATATGCATTGTCAGAAATAACATGGAATAATACATCAATAATTGGTTAGGTGTTAAGTGGTTCATTTAGTGCTCTTCCTACCGGGTGTGATGTCACTGGTATCTTGGAGGTCTCCCCCAGATTCCAGCGCCATCTTGCTAATGAGGGTGTTAGTCGATGTCAAAGGCAAAATCCCTAGCGACCATTTTAGGTAAATCACATATAAGGTTGAATAATGCTGATTGTGGTTATGCTTAATAGATAGGCATTTTATTAATATGAATTGGGTTAATATTTTTGTCCACAACAGTCCCCCCTTAAAATGACTATTTACTAAAGAGACAACTACTAACTAACCCTAACAATGTCCCTACTTGGCTGCAGCTTAACTGTCTGAACAAGCCTTGAACGCTTCACTACGCGGGTATCCCGTAGTGGCTAACCCACTACATCTCCCGCGTCAGACTCCTACCCATGGAGACAGACGCTGTCCCTATGCTGTCCCTATAAATAAGTAATTGTCCTTTGGAGGTTGTGGGACTGAAGAGGTGTGTGCGGGGTGTCACAGTCTATATTGTCAATATCTTGATGTAGGAATGTAGGTGTGGTGTGGTCAATGGTCTGATCTACAGTCTTTTATAAGTATCTTTGCACCCAGGGCTTCAAGCAGCAAACCAGGAAGAGAATCACTACTGTAAGAACTGCCATACCTACTTGAAAGAGAACTCTCTGTCATCCACTCATCCATCCCAACCATCTGTCCCATGAATTGGAGACCCCTGAGTTCTTTTGTTAATTCGTCAGAGAGACTTTCTAATTTCTCTATGGCCATGGTTACTTTACCATTGGGGCCTGTATTATCTGGAATGAAGGTACAGCATGTCATAGTGTCGGGGAGTATTTTACACACACACCCCTTTTCTGCTAGGATCATGTCTAAGGCCATTCGATTCTGGAATGTCATTTGGGAGGTAGCCTGCAATTGTTCTGCAAAGCCTTGAAGGGCATCTCTAGTATAATTGACAAAATTTTGCTGATTATAATTAATCCAGTTAATATTCTTGTTAGCAGTGATGAGTGGGATCAAGGATTCGAAACCTGCCGCAACCTCATCGCTGGCCTTGAACTCGTTTGGTACCCCCCTTGGTACACCTATGGCATCGATATATACAGGGCCGGACTGGCCCACAGGGATACCGGGAAATTTCCCGGTGGGCCGTCGGCACCTGGGGCCGGGCAGACACCTGGGTCTGCTGGCGGCCGCCGGGGAGGTCTTCTGGCGGCCGCTGGGGGACTTGTACTGGCGGCCGCTGGGGGAAGCTGCGCTGGCTCTGCTCCCCAGCGCGCAGCTGAATGAGATCGGTGCCGGAATATGATGTCATATTTCGGCGCCGGTCTCATTCAGCAGCGCGCAAGGGCAGGAGAGCAGAGCCAGCCCAGCTCCCCCTCCGGCCGCCAGTACAAGTCCCCCAGCGGCCGTCAGCAGACCTCCCCGGCGGCCGCCAGCAGACCTCCCCAGCGGCCGCCAGAAGACCTCCCCCTGGCAGGTATTAGTAATGTGTCAGTGTGAGTTTGTCTGTCTGTTATGATGTGTGTGTGTGTCTGTCTGTCTGTGTCATGGTGTCTGTATGGTGTGTGTGTGTGTGTGTGTGTGTGTGTCTGTCTGTATGGTGTGTGTGTGTGTATCATGGTGTCTGTCTGTATGGTGTGTGTCTGTCTGTGTCATGGTGTCTGTCTGTATGGTGTGTGTGTCTGTCTGTGTCATGGTGTGTGTGTGTGTCTGTCCGTCATGGTGTGTGTGTCTGTCCATCATGGGGTGTGTGTCTGTCTGTCCGTCATGGGGTGTGTGTCTGTCCATCATGGGGTGTGTGTGTCCGTCCATCATGGTGTGTGTGTCTGTCTGTCCGTCATGGGGTGTGTGTCTGTCTGTCATGGGGTGTGTGTCTGTCTGTTATGGTGTGTGTGTGTGTGCGTGTGTGTGTGTCATGGTGTCTGTCTGTATGGTGTGTGTCTGTCTGTGTCATGGTGTCTGTCTGTATGGTGTGTGTGTGTGTGTCTGTCTGTGTCATGGTGTCTGTATGGTGTGTGTCTGTCTGTCTGTATGGTGTGTGCGTGTGTGTGTGTCATGGTGTCTGTCTGTATGGTGTGTGTCTGTCTGTGTCATGGTGTGTGTGTGTGTCTGTCCGTCATGGTGTGTATGTCTGTCCGTCATTGGTTGTGTGTCTGTCCGTCATGGGGTGTGTCTGTCCATCATGGGGTGTGTGTGTGTCTGTCCGTCATGGGGTGTGTCTGTCTGTCATGGGGGTGTATGTCTGTCTGTGTCATGGTGTGTGTGTCTGTCCGTCATGGGGTGTGTATGTGTCTGTCCATGCTTCATGGGGTGTGTGTCTGTGCGTCCGTCATGGGATGTGTGTCTGTCCCTCCGTCATGGGGTGTGTGTGTGTGTCTGTGCCATGGTGTGTGTTACGGTACCCTCAGCATCAGATGCACAAACCGCTGTTTAGAAAATCCTCCCCTCTCGCAATAACATAGGCTATATGCGTATCAAGTACAATCATACGAACCGCAAGCAGGGGAACGCTGTAAACTCACGAACGGGATCCGTACGGGCACTTCACTTCACGAGCTCCAAACTCACGAATCGCCAATAGTAGCCGAACGCATATATCTCCCCAGCGGCTAATAATCTCATCCGGCAGTCTCTAGTCGTTGGTAATAAATCCCCCCAATAACGAGACCAAGCTCCGCATTGAGGGTAAAACATGAACTGGCTTTACTGTGGGCTACCTGCCCGTATTTATGCAGGTCTCCCACTTGGTCTCCCTAGGGGACCAAATGGGAGACTGTAACAATAGACAGACATATGGCAGGTTAGGACCCACAGACACAGAATATTCCCAGCATGCATTAGTATTTCCTCCCTTCTGCCCTCGAGATAATTGAGAAGTAATTCAATTATCTCCAGGACAGAGGCAAATCGCCATTTTAAATTCAACACAGAAAAACATATAAAAATATATAACTTTACATTTGTCGAATGTTACCCATTCGTATCACGTATCCCCCGATAGCCTGGATCTGAGTGCATATTATTGGCGAATAGCGCTCAGATCCCATACGCATAGTTCAATCGCCATGGAGTCAAAGTCTATTACAGTCTTTCGGTATGCGATTGACTCCATGGGAAGGCTATCTGGGGTAAGTCCATTCGTGCGTATAAAACTCCCGAACGGCCGGTGTTCGTATACTTCTGTCGATTGAGAAGGGAGGTCGGCGGCTTCAGCGGTGTTCGGCAGAAAAAGTGTCCGTTTTCAGTTCCATGAAATCCATGCCGAACACCGCTGGTCTTTCGCATGGTTTAAAATGGCCGCTGCCTCGTGGTCGACATACGAGCGACGACCACCCTGTATTCGCTTTTAATTGAGAAGTGTCTGTGGTTAACCACAACATTCTAACCAGCAGCACACTTCTCTTCTGGGTGGCCGTCCGTTCGGTAGTTTTGTTCAGTGGAAAAGTCAATTCACTGAACAGGGGCATACGAACGGGTAATTCCACGAAAAGGCAAAATAGACGAACCAGCAATCCCAGTCTATAAAGATGGATCTGTCACAGTGTGTGTGCCTGTCTGTGTCATGGTGTGTGTGTCTGTCTGTGTCATGGTGTGTGTGTGTGTGTGGGGGGGGGTCTGTCTGTGTCATGGTCTGTCATGGTGTGTGTGTGTCTGTCATGGGGTGTGTATCTGTCATGGTATATGTGTGTTTCTGTGTCTGTCATGGTATATATGTGTGTTTAAAAATAGTGTTTTTGCTCACCTTTTTTTTCCCCATGCAGCGTGCTGGTCTCCCCTCGATTGGCCCTGCCTCTATAGCTGAGATCATCAAGCTTGATGATCTCAGCCAATCCAATGCTTTGCCATAGGATTGGCTGCAAAACGCCACTCCAATCAGCACCTCCTCATAGAGATGCATTGAATCAATGTATCTCTATGGGGAATGTTCAGCACCTACAGAGTGTGGAGGCCCTGAATGTAGGTGCACTAACACAGGAAGCACCTCTAGTGACCGTCTGAGTGACTGTCACTAGCAGTGTCACTTTAAAGCAATGTAAACACTGCCTTTTCTCTGAAAAGTCAGTGTTTACATTGAAAAGCCTGTAGGGACATGCTATAGACACCAGTACCACTACATTAAGCTGTGTGTGTGCGTCTGCTAGTGAGTGAGCTTGCCTGCATGCGTGTGCCTGCTAGTGAGTGAGCTTGCTTGCATGCGTGTGCCTGCTAGTGAGTGAGCTTGTGTTTTTATGTCAATGAGCTGATGTATATCAGTAAGATTGTTTGTCCATGAGGCTGTGTATCAATGAGCTTGTGTGTGTCATTGAGATGTCAGTGAAATTGCCTGTGTCTGCATGTGAGTATGCTTACTGTATAATTAAACGTTTTACGCTGAAAGGACCAATATTTTATATTAGAAAAAGCAATATATATATATATTACTCAATCATCTGTCCTGGCAAGACATAGACAATATGTGGCGCAGTGACTTATGAGGCTGGCACAAATTTTTTGTCCAGGGCTGCTTTGTATCCCCAATCCGGCCCTGGATCGAAACTACCTTAAATAGGGGTTTCTCTTTTTATCCTGAAGTACGTGTGTGGGGAATCAAGTGGGCCTTGGTGGCTATCAGAAATTATATGTATAGGCATGATGGCATTGGTCAGAGTGCGTTCTCCCCACCACAGGCCAGTCATTTTAGACCTGAGTTGCATATCTCCACATAGCCAATAAATGTCTCCCAAGGACTTGACTTGATTTACCAATAAGGTAGTGGGAGGTTTCTGATAGGTGGCACAGTAGCCGGGAGGAAAACTACCCACAAATTTACCCGTGGTTCCTTGTATAGTGTAGCAAGTGTAATTACCTGGATACACGGTGATTCTATCAGGTGGCCTGAGATTCCCTTGAGTTATTGGATATACCTTTTTCCATGATTCTCATACTGATGAGTTTGTGGCTGATTGTACATAGAGGCTTAGAAAACACATCTCAACATCGGGGGGTAGATTAAAAGGCACTGTACCCAGATGGGGTCTGGCCCCGCCACAGACATAACAGTTAGTTTTATTGTGTGAATTAGCATTATACCTCATCCACTCAAGCCATAGGTTGGTATCTGAAAAATCGGTCTCCACAGCCATAGTGTCCTCGAATGTAGGATTGGCAATTTCCACCATGTCCTTAAGAGTTTTAATGTGTGGTTTTAGAGGGTTAGTGGTCCTGTGTGTAGAGTCTAGTCAGTCAGGTGATGTATGCATGTCATGTAAATAGAAGGTCCCCAACTTGTTATATGAGCCACCCCCTCTCCAGTACATCCCCATTATGTACTCTCCAGTATCACCTGGGCTGGGATGTTCTATGTTTAAATTGAGTTTCATTGGGGTAGACCCTGTTGGCATACATAAGGTCATTCTGTGTAATAAGGGTTTCCCATGTCTGTCCACCCTATCCAAGGCGCTTTGTGGTCTGAAGCCCATGGTCGGCCTGTGTTCCATCCCGCTGCTCTCCAGGTACTACAGTGATGTCCCCAATGGTCACCTGTCACACAAATGTATGGGTCCTTTCTACTGGGTATGTCTTTGTATATTGCTGAGTGTTGTGGAAAAGTACAAGGAACAATATCACAGTAATCAAAGGTAAAAGTAGCTACATGTGTTTTTGAAGAGTTATACCAGAATGTGTAAACACGATTATCTTTGGTGATAGCAACTTGTTGGGCCTTTAATAGGCCTAGCAACAGAAATAGACACAGGAAGCTCATAGTTTAGCAGGATCTGCTTCCTCTGGATCAGGAACTTTCTTACAGTGCGAGGCATGTATCCACGTATTCTTCCCAGCCAATTTTACCGAGGTAGACGTGGTCAATAGGACTTGGAATGGACCGTCAAACCTTGGCTCAAGAGTGTGCTTTCTCAGGAATTTCTTGACCATAATCAGGAAGAAGTTTATGTGTGCCTGTGTTTGATTCTGGATCTGGAATAGAAGAAAACACCTGTGCATGGATTTTGGTCAAGGCATGAGAGAGTGCAGTTATATAATCTACCATTGCATCTGACTGAATTTGAAGTTGTTGAGGAAAATAACAGCCTAACCTGGGTGCTGTACCAAATAAAATCTCGTAGGGGGATAAGCTAAATCTCCCTAAATAGTGCTATGGGAAGACTTTCCGGCCAGGGTAGGTTAGTTTCTTGGGCCATCTTAAGCATTCTGGCTTTCAAGGTGCCATTCATGCATTCTATCTTACCACTACTCTGTGGGTGATAGGGTGTGTGGAATGCAAGGGTCACCCCTAGTGCTGCCCAGATTTCCTTGGTTAGCAACCCGGTGAAGGATGTTCCCTGGTCACTTTCAATCACCTCAGGATGATTTCAGTAAGTAGGCGCTTTGCTGTGGTCTTAGCAGTGGGATTAGTGACAGGAAAGCTTCTGGCCATCCTGAAAACATATCCACTATGACCAGTGCATATTCATACCAGCCACTTTTTGGCATTTGGATATGATCAATTTGGATCCCTTGGAAAGGGTACTGTGGCTTGGCCAAATGGTTTGGTGCAGCTTTAATTATTTTTCCCGGATTACATCTGATGCAGATAGTACAGGATCTGCAGTAATTTCTTGTCAAAGTAGTGATTCAAGGTGCCTCAAAATATTTATCAATCAGGGAGTTCATGAGGTGCTTGGATAAATGGGCCCACTGAACGACAGCTGGGTACATATTCTTGGGTAGACAGAATTTGAGGTTGATTGTGTACACTTTATTCTGTAGGATTGCCCCTTTATCGTTCCAACTTTGTTTTTCCTGAGGGGTGGCAGCGGCCGTTGTTCTCTTAGGAACTTGAGATCGGTAGTTAGGGTTTGCATAGTGTAAATAGGAGTCTGTTCAACGGGCACTCTTCTGTCCACTTCTCGACACTGGCGTGCCACATCTTTAGCAGCCTGATCGGCTAAGTAATTGCCACATGCTTCTTCGGAATTCAATCTCCCGTGGGACTTTACCTTCAATATGGCCAGCTCTTCAGGGAGCAGTAAGGCATCCATTAATTCGTTGATAGCTGCGCCATGTTTCACCGGAGTACCTGTTGCTGTAAGAAACCCCCTTCTTTTCCAGATTAAGCCAAAATCATGTGCTACGCCCAGGGCATACCTTGAGTCTGTATAGATATTAACACATTTCCCTTCAGACATCTTACATGCTGCTGTAAGGGCTATTAGTTTGGCTTCTTGTGCTGACTTAAATGATGGAAGTGAAGATGCTTGGAGTACTCGGTCTTCTGTAGTGACAGCATATCCGGTATGATATTGTCCCTGTACGTCGGCAAATCAAGAACCATCCACAAACAGGGTGAAGTCAGGATCTGGCAGAGCAGCCTCGTGCACCGTTGGGAGATGGGTTGTCTCCATTTTCATCTGTTCAAAACAGTCATGAGGGGCATCCGGGTCCTGTTCTGTAGGAGGGATGTCTTCACATATCTCTGTGTGATATCAAGGGTAACCGACTGTTTTGCAATTTATGGTCCTTTTAGTGACCCCCATCAATGTGAGCTGTTCTTGATTTGCGGTACTCCATGTTTTGGCCATTGGGCCGAGTTCTTTCCATGAGAGATTTGGAGATTTGGTGAAAGAGATATGAGGAATTGCCACCTCCCAGTGGTGGTATAAATGTGATACCTCCATGGGCAGGTAGACCAAGATAACAATATTTCCTCTGGAGTCACAGAACAGGTCTGTCAGGGTGATGCATATTTCCACCAGGCTGAATAATTATTCTTCATAGCATGGGTCAGGACCTGGGGTATTCCTGAACCACAGGGTGGAATGTAAGTAGCCCTCAGGATGTTCATCATGTGGAACCAGGGGCTTTTTCACTTGAAGTTCCATATGAACATCAGGATTTATGTCCAGACTGTACCAGTATTATGGTACTCCCCCCTTGGGAAGTGGTAGAAGAGTGGCCGGGTTCAAAGAGTTACATCTTTGTAGAGTGACGTTATCAGGCAAGATAAGGGAGGTTTGAAGGCGGAGGTGTCTCTGGGAGGAGAGATGTTTCGGTTGGACTTGATTCAGGATGGCCGTGATATCATGGGGAGCAAGGACAGTGAGTTTATGTCCAAGAACAAAGTCATTAGTTTTGTCCAGCAGAGCACTGGCAGCAAAAACAACACGTAAACAAGAAGGACCGCCTCAAGCCACAGGGTCCAGCATGCATGAAAAATAACCAATAGGGCGTTGACGGGAACCATGTGATTGTGTAAGGACCCCTGAAGCATGGCCCATCTTTTCAGAGACAAAAAGTTTGAATGGTTGCTGATAGTTAGGTAGGCCCAAAGCTGGGGCAGAGGAGATGGCCCTTTGAAGGGCATAGTAGCAGGAGTGAGCTGTTAAAGACAATGAAAATGGTTCTGTCTTCAAGGCATCATAGAGAGGTTGCATGAGCTGAGAAGCCTCAGGTATCCAAGACCTGCAATATGTGATGAGGCCCAAGAAGACATGAAGAGCTTGATGAGTAGATGGGAGAGAGAGATTTGTAATAGCAAGTACTCTGTTCTCTGTTAGGTGACAGTGCCATGAGAAAGGCAATGTCCCAAGAAGACCACAGAGGGCTGGCACCACTGAAGTTTCATTCTGGAGGCTTTACATCCTTCTTCAGTGAGGAAACAAATGAGATCTTCAGAATTTTGTTCAGCAGTTGGAAGATCATCCGCACAGAGAAGTAAATCATCCACAATCTCCCGTGGAGCAGGACCACGTCAGGGTGAGACTTTTGCCAATGTTCTAAGACAGTTGACATATCTTTGGCGAATTGAGTAGGGGAATTTTGTGCACCTTGAGGCATTACAGTCCAAGTGTACTGTTGGCGATCGTGTATGAAAGCAAACAGATATTGGCAAGAGGGATCCAAGGGCACGCTGAAAAAGGCGTTTGCAAGATCAACCACAGTGAAGAATTTAGCTGTTGGAGGGACTTGTGACAACAGTGTATGTGGATTAGGAACAACAGCAGTGTCTCGGTTGGTGACATCATTAACAGCGCAGAGGTCTTGAACCATACGGTATTGGTCAGGTTGGCCTTTTTCATTCTTTTTCTTCACTGGAAATAGAGGGGTGTTACACTCTGACACACACTTTACCAGAACACCTTTTGCTAACAGACTTTCAACTTGTTTGGAGATGGCAAGGGCTTGTGCAGGCTTTAATGGGTACTGTGGTCTTCGTGATGGATTAGCTCCCCTTAGTAGCGTGACAACCACGGGTGGGACTCTTAGGCGGCCAATGTCCTCTGGGCCTGTAGACCTGGGGGCAGTCATGTGTAACAGTAGGGGCAAAGAGCAAAGAACAGAAGTATCTTTGCGAGAAAGGGGGGTTAATAATTGAATCTGGCCATCAGCGGTGAAGGAGATAGAAGCTTGAAGATGGGACAGAACATCAGCACCTAACAGGTTAATTGGACAAGTAGAAGAGACAACAAACCATGAGAGAATGTCTGAACCCACCCGCAAGAGCTTAGTTAATGGGTTGTTTCTAGGGGTACCATCGACACCTACACAAGAGACATCTGTGTCGGATAGGTAAGATGAGTCAGGCAGGTCTTGTTCTCTGAGAACACTGCGGGCTGCACCTATGTCAACTAAAAAGGAAGTCGGATGACTCTCTACGGGTAGGACTACTGTAGCGAGAGGCCCACCTTTGTCCCCTGTAGACACTGCCATGACAGGGGTGTTAGACACAGGTTTGCCAGTTACCTATTGTATGAGGTCTAGATGAGATTGATCAGAGCCAGTGTAGTGACATGTGAGTCTACTGTGTAGGGCAATGTTGACTGGGTACAGGACGGTCGTCTTGTTGATAATAATCTGTATCATAATTATCACTGCGGTGTGTGGAGGGTGATCATGAGCTGGAGGTAGATGACAGGCAGCTTGGGTATATTCCTGAGGAGGGTAATACGAAGTATGTGCCTGAGGATATACCTGTGGAGGGTAACCTGGCTGGAGGCAACCATGTGTGATTGCAGGGGCATAGGATAGCTGAACACAGGATTAGGTGGTCTAGTGGTTGGCTGTTGTTGTCTAGGCACTCTGGGGTGTGGACAATATGGTCAAGAAATTCCTGAAATGACCTAATTGGTTACAATAAAAGCAAGCCCTGGTCTGAGGCCTAGGTGTGTGTGTATGGTGTTGTACCTGTGTAGCTGGCACAGGATACCCTGCGGGTGCTGGGGTGGGTCTGATGGAAGGACTATAAAAGGAAAACAAAAGGGGATTACTTTTCCTTTGGGGTGGCTGGTGTGCAGATTCTAGGCCTTTAGCAACCAAAAGGAGTGTCTAGAGGAATAATCCTATATTCAGGGCGGGAAAGCACTAAGCCTTTCCTGATGGCTTCCTTAAGGCCCGCAACAAAGGCAGCTGATAACATTTGGGTATGTTCCTTATTGTATTCACTGAATCCTAGATCAGAGAAAGTTTCAATCGTGAATGGTACTTCTCCACAGACTCAAGTACAAGTTTATCTTGTATAATATCATTTATACAAGTGGCTTGGTCAGCTAGTTTATCCTGGGCCCAGGCCCGAAGCTGTTCACAGAATGTGATACCCGACTGAAAATCCATATCAGTAGTGAGGAGAGCGTCATTAAAACACAACACAATTCTGCAGTCACTATACACACACTACATCCTTTCACAAACGCACACTCTGCAGTCACTATACACACACTACATCCTTACACAAACACACACACTCTGCATCACTATACACACACACTACATCCTTACACAAACGACACATTCTGCATTCACTATACACACACTACATCCTTACACAAACACACACCCTACAGTCACTATACACACTACATCCTTACACAAACACACACTCTGCAGTCACTATACACACACTACATCCTTACACAAACACACACTCTGCAGTCACTATACACACACTACATCCTTACACAAACACACTCTGCAGTCACTATACACACACTACATCCTTACACAAACGCACACTCTGCAATAACTACACACACTACATCCTTACACAAACAGACACATTCTGCATTCACTATACACACACTACATCCTTACACAAACACACACTCTGCAGTCACTATACACACACTACATCCTTACACAAACACACTCTGCAGTCACTATACACACACTACATCCTTACACAAACGCACACTCTGCAATAACTACACACACTACATCCTTACACAAACAGACACATTCTGCATTCACTATACACACACTACATCCTTACACAAACACACACTCTGCAGTCACTATACACACACTACATCCTTACACAAACACACTCTGCAGTCACTATACACACACTACATCCTTACACAAACGCACACTCTGCAATAACTACACACAAGCAGAGAGCACTGAAACATTGCTCCTTGCATGGTCTGCCCTTAGCAGATAGCAGGCAGCCTGGTCTGCATTCATGCAAGGCTGACCTGCCAAAGCCCACTTTGTGGGCAGGTCCACCCCTGTGGGCAGTGGTAGTGGTGTGACTTGCATTACTGGCCTGTCCCCTTTTACACTGACAACCGAAGTCCCGTCGATTTTCTCACCTTTTTCCTTTGTTATTCCCATATTGTCCACTATTAAAGTGACTTCACAGCACATACTAGAAGGATCTGGTTCTTCAGGTAACGGCGTAATCCAGAAGGTGTAAAGACCAGCATCCGTCAACTTAACATTCCGAAGCTCCAAAGTTCCACTCTTCTTTTCTTCCCAGTTTGGTGACAAGGACGTTCTGCCACTGTAATCTTCATTCTGCTTGACCTCTCCACTGGAACCCTCCTGACAGTGAACGAAGATCTTCCCACCAGCTTCTGATTTCCTCTCCCAAGTCACTTTCCATTTGTCATGGTCTTGTGGCCTCCAGGGAATCACACATGGGAGATGTACAGTATCTCCCAAATGGGCATTGACATACCTATGAGGACAAGGACAGGGTCTGCCTGAAACTAGCAGTGAACATAAAAGGAATAAGAAGGAGAAACACGTTAAAAATGTAAGGAAGAAAAGAACACATACAGAATTTCAAACTGCAGTCTGAAGCATTGTGCTTGATGTAATAATAAAAAAAAAGATCAGTATGTTTTATGGTTTCATAACCAGAGAATGCTATGAATATTAGTTTAACCCTTTTGCAGGTTTCAATAGTGCTGATACTGAGTAGACAGGTAGAGGGTCAAGTTGACCTGCAGGAACTTGAATATGATGTAAGTCTGATTCGGTTATAGGTCTTCAAATGGTCGAGTTGTCTTGACTCAGGTTAAGATAAGTGAACATAAAAACAAAAAGACTCCAATAGTGCAGACTACAACTGACACTATACAAATACAAAATAATAATATACTGGCGCTCTAAAATTAAATAATTCCACAATATATAATATATATATATAACAATAATGTAAGCTGCTATATCACCATGTGTAATCTTTCCATATACACCAACCACAAAACAAAAATAACGAAAGGTGAAGCGCTACATACAAATTGAAGTCCAATTCTTATAACCGTCGTTCTTGTCGATCAATATTTTTCTGAGTGGTATATAGATCTTACTCTAAAAAGGAAATTGAAATACTCTTAGTGCAACACTGTAACAAAATTATTAAAAGCAATATAAACTCTATATATGGAACCACTCACATATTACTGAGCTTACGACCAAGCTCAGGGATATACGCCTTCAGGTCTGTAAAGGCGACCTTTCTCCTTCTTTTATCCAAGTGACAAATTCCCCGTTGCAGCTAGGGCTCCAGCAGAGATATATATGGTGCAATATAGTTTCAAATCCGTATATAGTGTAGGAAAATGTATATATTATACTCACAAATCTGGAGCCACTCTCTTAGGCTCTTTTCCAACACGTTGTGTAGTTGAGGACTACACACCTAATAGCAGGAACCAATATCCCAGTATAGATAACACAAATGTTTATTGTATAAAAATTCTAATGGCCAATTAGAATCTATTAAAACAAAATGTATAGATAATAAATACACAATAATATTAAAATCTGGGCATAAAGGCAATGTAATACAATCCCCAGGACGCGTTTCGCCAAACTACTATTGGCTTCCTCAGCTGGGTGAAAAAATCACAATCAAAATCCTCAGCTGGGTGAAAAAATCACAATCAAAAAGATTTTGATTGTGATTTTTTCACCCAGCTGAGGAAGCCAACAGCACTACACCACAGACAGCCCAGCCGAACAGCAGCAACCCTACGCAGAATCAGGAGGGGTAAGGCCCGACTGACAGACCGACAGACCGAGAGGACGGCGGACGGTCAGGCCTAAACTGGCTAAAACCACCACACCACCACATAGAACCGGCAACGGCCAACAACCACACCGATCAGTACAATCCAAAACCGGGACCCCAAGATACTCACCAGGAGAACAAGTAACCCGCACCGCCGCTCCCCACCATGGCATACCCAAAACGCTGAACATGAGACATCACAGAGAACATGCGCCTGCTACATGAGACACCCACGGAAGGCCGGGAAGAGGCAGCGGAGCCTCTTCAGCCTCATGCCGGGTGATAAGACTGTCTCTGCAATGTGGCCCGCGTGCGGGGTCGGTTGACTCTGGGCCAACGTTGGTACTGACTTACTGAGCACTACAGACTCTCCAGACCCAAGATGAGACACAAGCTATAAATATAAGCTGTTGATGTTAGTGTTATTATGCCATGCACGCACCCTTTGCACGCCTGCCTAGTTACTCTATACCTTGTTTTACATAACAATTACATATCTGAGCATCATATATGACACTCTTAACAAGCTCACATCTTTCACACTTACACAGGCATACGGCATACACGATATGGGTCAGTGGCATGTTAGACACCCAAAGGGGCCTACTCTACTAAGCTCAACTATACAAAGCCTGCACACCCTTGGAAGCACCTATTACTACATAACAAATTACGATATATGCCTACAGCATAAGCGACATAGACAGATCAGAATTACGCAGAACAAGCTTGTTAATACAACCATGCTTATCTTACAACTCTTTAAAAAACTATGCCTTATCCACTTATTCCCCACTGTACCTATTGTTCTGAAATCAGCATGTAAAATGCCGTCGGGGTACCACATTCATGTTTGTTATCATCATATGCAGTACAAAAACAAACAAAAAAAATATATGTATTTTTAATTTTTTTTTTTTTTTAAACAACAACCTGGTCCATGAATGCTTTTATAGGCTTTGCAATCATATGCTAATTCACATTTTGGCGCCAAAATTACGTCATTTACATAATACATATAACCAATACAAAACACAAATACAATGTGAACAAGGTAATATAAAAACGAAATGCATGTTTAAAATATGTTGAAGTAATAAAAACAAGTGTTTTTCTATAAGTTTAAAAAAAAAGCAGAAAAGGATTAGAAAAAACGATCACGTGATCACGCCATAACGCGACAACGTTAGTTACTTGGGGACCATTTGCTCTTATCATTGTACATACACTCACCCCCTGTTGTCATTTATTTTGTTTAAAATATCTTAAAGTAATGAATTTATTTGGGATGTTTATGTTTATTTTGAATACAGTTGCCATTAGCATAAGTTAATATATCCGCCCAATGTTTTTTGCATTTGCATGGTGGTATTGTGGTGTGGAGGGAGTGGTTATCAGATGGAGCGCTTCCACTTCCGGGTGGGTTCCGCCCGCTGACTACGTTCCCCATGATGCACTGCTACGTTCGATGAAATGGAGGAAGCCCAGCCCCAATTGGCACCCTGCCGGGGGATAGACGCATCCATTGCGCTTTACGTGTATGGGGAAGCCCCGCCCAGCCCCGATGTGCTTGGTGCCACTCAAACTAGGGGGCTTGTCAATCTTCACGATCCCCCCTATCCAGCATATCTTTCCCAAAAGGCATTTGGGCTAACCATGTGGTTGCGTTATGGCGTGATCACGTGATTGTTTTTTCGAACAAAATCCTTTTCTGTTTTTTTTTTAACTTATAGAAAAATACTTGTTTTTATTACTTCAACATATTTTAAACATGCATTTAGTTTTTATATTACCTTGTTCACATTGTATTTGTGTTTTGTATTGCTTATATGTATTATGTAAACGACGTCATTTTGGCGCCAAAATTTTAATTAGCATATGATTGCAAAGCCTTTAAAAGCATTCATGGACCAGGTTGTTGTTTTTATTGCCAGTTGATAAAGCCCTGTGTGGCGAAATGCGTTTTGGCTGTTCTTAATTTAATTTTTATATGTTATTAATAAAGGAATATTGTGCCATGCACCTTTTTCTTATTATTTTTTATGATATTATTTTATTACATTAATTTTATTTGAACCTGGTCACCCACCACATTGGAGCGTTCACCTGCTCAGGAATCCTAGGTGGGGATAGTACCTCCTACGCTATCATATTGAGCAGTATATCCTGCTCATCCAAATGTGAGTATTTCATTTTTCTATACTGACCTGTCTTATATAATATACAGTGAGTGTTGTGGAAATGAGATATTGACATAATTTGTAGCTAGTAAAATGTCTATTTACTCATCTAACTGTAATAGGCATTATTCTACTTATGTGATTAGTTAAAATGGCCGCTAGGAGCTTCCCCCCTAACATCGAGTAACTACCTTGTGTAACAAGATGGCGCTGGAATCTGGGGGAGACCCTCATGGTCCCAGTGACATCACCCCTAGTAGGTCTAGCATTAAGAAAACCACTTAACACCTAACCAATTAATGATGTATTATTTCATGTTATCTCTGACAATGCATATGATGTATTTCTGCTTTTAGAGGGACCTGCCATCCCCTCTGAATAAACTTTCCTCAAGTTTTTCATCAACCTGAAACTTGTGTCTGGTGTGAATTACTTCAGGGAGCGTGCACACACTGTTTCTTTAATTTGGCTGGGGCAGATACACAAAATAATCAATTTATTGATTGATTTCCACTTCATTGAGCACTATATTTGGTTCTATTTTTTCCCTATACCGAGGACCTCTCCTGCTTACCAACACCTATATCCTATCAGTGGGGTATCGATGCCACTGAATGCCAGTTATACCTGAGCTAGTTCTAGCTCTTTAATAGGTGAGTGTATTACCACCCTTCTGTGAAGTCTTATTTCTTCCGGTTTATTGTCCGTTGTAGTCTGCACTATTGGAGTCTTTTTCTTTTTATGTTCACATACCTTAACCTTAGTCAAGACAACTCGACCATTTGAAGACCTATAACCGAATCAGACTTACATCATATTCAAGTTCCTGCAGGTCAACTTGACCCTCTGCCTGTCTACTCAGTATCAGGACTATTGAAAACATTTTTGCTTTGCTCAATATATGTGAGTACATTACTGCAGTCTATTTTATTTCACTGTTTATTGTGGCACGACCTATTTTCATTTTTTGTCTTTTATTCTTTTCTGAGGGTTTGTGAGGGAACCTCATATTTATAGGTTGCAGCCCTACACTTATTTTTGCTTCAAATTGGTCATATAGTGCTGATCCAACATCTATTCTTTTGCAGGTTTGCCTAAATAAAAATATAAAAGCTATACATTTTTTTTCAAATAGGTTTTACCAGAACGATGACTAGGACATTAAAGTGTTAAGAATACTATTTCCTTTCCTAACTCTATTGTGTTTCTTTAATGAAGCAGTTTTAGTGTATAGTTCATGCCCCTGCAGCCTCACTGCTCAATTCTCTGCCATTTAGGAGTTAGATTACTTTGTTTATGCAATCCCAGTCATACCTCCATGCATGTGACTTGCATAGCCTTCCTAAACACTTCCTGTAAAGTGAAATCTAACGTTAAAATTTCTTTATTGCACAGTCTGTTTAAAATAGCATTTTTATTCTCCTGCTCTGTTAAAGGACCACTCTAGGCACCCAGACCACTTCAGCTTAATGAAGTGGTCTGGGTGCCAGGTCCCTCTAGGATTAACCCTTTTTTTTTATTAACATAGCAGTTTCAGAGAAACTGCTATGTTTATAAATGGGTTAATCCAGCCTCCAAAGCCTCTAGTGGCTGTCTCATTGACAGCCGCTAGAGGCGTTTGCATGCTTCTCACTGTGAAAATCACAGTGAGAAGACACAAGCGTCCATAGGAAAGCATTGTAAATGCTTTCCTATGACACCGGCTGAATGCGCGTGCAGCTCCTGGCGCGCATGCACATTCAGCCGAAGAGGAGGATTGGAGGCGGAGAGCTCCCTGCCTGGTGCTGGGAAAAAAGGTAAGTTTAACCACTTTCCTCGCCATCCAGTCCGCGGGAGGGGGTCCCTGAGGGTGGGGGCACCCTCAGGGCACTATAGTGCCAGGAAAACAAGTATGTTTTCCTGGCACTATAGTGGTTCTTTAATATACTGCTAGATTATACAGGAGCTTTGTGCATGATTAAAGTTCAATAAACCGCGCAGGAGATAAAATCATCTAAAGTAAGATCTGAAACCATTTTTCACGCAGGCTGTGTCAGTCACAGTTAGGGGAGGTGTAGCTGACTATCGTTGCATAAACAGAAACAAAAGAGATTTCACTCCTAAATGGCAGAGAATTGAGCAGTGACATTATGTGAGGCCCTGCGGTCCTGTTCCGTAGTTTCGCCTATTATATTGGACTATCAAATGATTCTGCACAGCGAGGGGGTACTGATCCCTTGCTGCGCCTAATCCGACAATAGTCCGTAATAGGTGCCACGTGTTATGGCGTGGGGGGAGGTAAAAATGCCCCTCCAGCCCAGTTGTCATGTAAAGGGTGACCCTGGTGGTAAAGTGTGTTGCTGGGGCTGCTGCACTCCCATGCAGTCCCAGCGCTCTGTGAGTGTCAGAGCACAGGCGCCGGGTTCCCAGCCTGCGCTCTGACATCATCATAAAGCGCCCGGACAGCGCGGCAGTGCGCCAGCAGCCCCAGCAACACACTGGACCACAAGAGAGTCCACTAGCAGCACACTGGACCACCAGGGAATGAACCAGCTGCCTACAAGGGACCCTCTGGATCACCATGGGAGCAATTATTGCCCACCTGTCTGCACAGAAGGTAAGCAGGAGGGGGACAAATAACTATTACAGCAGCGGAGGAAGAAGCAGCGACGTGGGATCCCACCCCCCAATCCCCGGTTGCTGAAGGGGTGAAAACCCCTTCAGTGACTTACCAGAGGCAGCGACATGTCCCACGTCACTGCTTCTTTCTCCGCCGCTGCTCCTCCTCTGCATTACGTCGGCCGATGGGCGAGACTGATCCCGCCCACTGGCCAGGGACACCTAATGCGAATGCGCGGCAATGCCACGCATGAGCATTAGAGCTCCCCATAGGAAAGCATTGCAAATGCTTTTCAATGCTTTCCTATGGGGAATTGAGCGACGCTGGAGGGCCTCACCCAGCGTGAGGACGTCCAGCAACGCTCTAGCACAGGTTTTCTGTGCTATGAATCAGGAAGTGCCCTCTAGTGGCTGTCTAGTAGACAGCCACTAAAGGTGGAGTTAACCCTGCAAGGTAATTATTGAAGTTTATAAAAATACTAGAATAATTACACTTGCAGGTAAGAGTAGTGGAAGTTGGCACCCAGACCACTCCAATGGCCAGAAGTGGTCTGGGTGCCTGGAGTGTCTCTTTAAATGTTATATTATTGCTTAGTGTGTTTGAAAATGTCACTTGCATTATATAGTTCATGTATTAATTGTAACGGCACCCCAAGGCATAAAAGGGGTTAAAAGCCGTTTAGGAGATCTTCTCCTTCCAGAGACACAGGCACAGCTACTGCAGAACCCCAAACTCCCGAACAGGATACCAAGTAGCAAATTCCCAAACTGGAACCTCACGAATAGCTGCTAGCAGCTGAACAGGAAAAGCACCCAAGCGGCTTACACTCCTGGCAATCAGTCTCTAACAGCATACAGTAAATCCCCCCAAGAATGAGACAAAGCTCCGTGTTGAGGGTCAAGCAGTGAACAGACAGAGCTGTGGGTTTATTGTTCTTATATACACATTAGTACCACCCACAGGGTTTTGGAACACAACCAATAAACACATACAATACACTCAGACACTCCCACACAAAATCCTCCCCTCTGCCTGTGATACAATTACCTTACACAATGGGTAATGTAATTATCACAGACAGAGAAATAGTTTTTCCACATTATTCATAACTTTAAAAGTATGCATCACATAAAACTAATATTTTCAGAATCAGCATACTCCAAATACAAACATACGTCAAAATCATACAAATTGGTCCAGTGGTTCAAAAGATAGATCGAATGCCTTTGTGACCACAGGAAGCATGGCTTTTCTGCCCAAAACCAGTTCCACAGAGCCTTCTATCCTGGAGATAATTGGGAAGTAATCCAATTATCTCCAAGGACAGAGGCAAAACTCCATTAAGCACATGGCAGTAAAAAGACAGTAAAATACAATAAAATACACAAGGTTACATTTATTACATAAAATACAGACATGCAACATATCCCCAGATAGCTTAGGTCTGAGCACACATTATTACTGAATGGTGCTCAGACCACACACATACAGTTCAATTGCCATGGAGCCAAAGTCTTTCCCATAGTCTTTTATTATACGAATGGGCTCCATGGCACAGCTATCTGGGGTATCACCACTCAAACAGGGCAAGCACCGAATGACCCGGCTTTCGTGTCTTTGCAGGGGAAAATCAAGCGTTTCAACATGGGGCCATAGTCTAAATGCAGCAGGCGGGCAACCAGGCTCCTCCAATGCACAGTGGCGAGATTGGTCTCATCACATTAATTATAATTGTTCGTTCTCCAATGTTGTATTTATTTGTATTTTAAATGTTTCTCACCACATGTTTAAGGACTAGTTCACAAAGGCTATTCGTTGGTTTCAAAAAAAAAAAAAAATTGTTATTCAAGTTCCTTTTGAAACTGTGTGTCCTGTGTCTAATTTGTTCACAGTAAAATAATCTTTGTTTTTGTTGGCTGGCTGCCTAGTCCCTGTAACATAGAACAAAATTAAAAAGAGGGAGGTCGGAAAGCTGCAAGTACCTTTATAAAGGCAAGAGCTATTTACAGTGCAGGCAGAGTTAAAGATACCTGCCTGTGAAAGAGGATACCTGCCTGGAAGGAGAGAGCTGCAGCCTGGTCGGTTGGAAGAGGTCCGGAGAGACCCAGCCAAGCTTCAGAGACTGGGGCTGTAGCGTTCCAAGGTCCCTAAAAGTTGACTTGGTGGAGGTACTCTGTTGGAGTACGGAAGCTCTGTCACACATTCATACAGACAGGACAAGCTCAATGATATATTCGTACACACTGCACATTACTGTGGGTTTTATTTCTGTGGAGCTCTGTGATTTTATTTCTGAGGTACATTTATGCACTCTGCAAAATTACTGTATATTTTATTCCTTTATTTTAAATGACTTAATTATTAACTAGAGACCCCCTTGTTTGAATGTGGAAAACCCATCTGTCTTGGGGTATTCCAGACATCCCATCTGCATTGGTTCATTGGTCACCTGACTCTATGAATAAACTCTTAGTACAGTAACAACTTTGCATCGTTGCAAAGCTGATTGTAGCGGAGATCTGGTATTACACAGCCTATCTCCACTTTGAATCCCAGGGAGGTTCAGGAACAAGCAATTATAAATCCATAGGGTAAAATATCCAGCAGGCCAAATAACAGCAGTATCCCAACAGCAATCCCAATAACTGGACGACACACAGTTTCAGGAGCAGAACTCAAGCTTTATTCAGACAGTGGCCTTTTAAAGCCTGCTCCCATGAAAGGGAGGGATTTTCATTCATTAGTACAGTAGCCAATCCTGTTCTGGTAACCTCCCACACATCTCCTCCCCTCAGCCTGCATCATAATCCCCTTATCCAGCACACCAATTCCCCCCGTTTCTGGATGTACCCCTAAACTTAGGGGTACCACTTTAAATCATACATCCCCTGGTAGCCCTGATCTGGGTGAACAACATATCCAAAAATCACCCAATACAATACATTAAATACATAGAACTTTGCTGTTTTCACACGAATGCATTAAAATACATGAAATTCTCAGGACAGCTCAGTGCCATCCGCTACACTGATGGTGCAGAGAGCATAACTGCAGCGATATGTAAAAAGGACAAAGCTCTAACCCAACCTCTCAGTGCTGTCTGTCAGGCTGCTGGGAAGTTCATTTCCTGGTTGGATCTGTTAACTTTGTCCAAGTTGTGTGTGTGTAACGTATACTACAGGGTGGTGTTTCCCCTTTAAATGTACATATGTATCCTACCACATTATGTACTAATCATGTTGCGAGCTTCACTTTTCATGTTATGTTATAGTGAAAGTTTTTGCACTTGTATAAAAAATTTAAATAAATAAAGGACCACAGCTTGCTGAAGTACTTTATGGGTAAGAAGTATCCTATTTTAAACCTAGTTTATAATACTGCCAATTTATAGCTATTTATGAAAACTATCCTGGCTGTCAATCAAACAGCCAGGGAGGTTTGCTTCCTTCTTCCGTTAGCTCCCATGACAGACCAGCATTCCTCCTGAACAGAGCAAAAGAGGGTGGGCTTGCAAAGGCTTCAGTCATAAGAACTGGAGCTTTTACAAGCTTTTTTTAGATATATAATGCCAAATTAATGCATGTTTTTAATTTGAGGTATATATGATGTCTTCTAATTAGCGACACCCCCTTCCATTTTTTAAGTTAACACAAATAAACACAAATATATAAATGCATATTTATTTTGAGTCTATTTTGATCTGCATTAAATGCAATGCTGTTTTCGCAGAACCCAGTATTTCATGTAAATTCAGAAGTGGGTATCACATACTCATAGCCCTGAGAGTGCAAGTACATAAGTGCGCACAAAATACTAATAGTTGCTGTAAAGCTAAGCAGTTTATTTAGTAAACAGTAAATTATAATTAATTAAAATCTAAATTGCAAAATTGAAGCTGAACTAGCCAAGCTGGGATAGCAGCATCTTTATTACTTAAATAAATTAGAAACGGGGGCGGGGCTGGACCGCCGAGCTGGACGGTTGCAAACTTGAGCTGCTCCTGCAAAATATCGACAAATACTCTGAAAAACCATGTATTACTGCCTTCCAACTGACCACCAGTGACAGTGCCCAGAGCGCAGAGACTGCTGGACCCTGGGAGAGGCTGGCTCACCGAGCTACAGTCCCCGGGAGGAGATATCCTCGTTGCCACGGGGCCTTCTCCGGCGGTGAGTGGGGCGGACGGCCGCTGCCCCACTGTCCTGCACCACAGTACCCAGCTTGAGGCACAAATCCAGGTGGATCCGGACCTGTCCCCCCCCCCCCGGACCGGTGGGGGTGATCCCGGTCCTCACCCTGGGGCCCTATTCAAGACTACACACATGGAGCCAGGGGACCCGAGAGTGGCTCTCAAGATGGCGGGCACCATGTGCGCGGGAGGTATGGAGAAATCCTGCACCATTTCCGAACCCACGGCACACAACGGGATTCCGTCACCCCGACCTGGCAACAGGGAGGAGCGGATAAACCACCACCTACTCCTGCAGCCACATAGGCCGAAAATTAGCGGCACAAGAGACCCTGATGAGCGGCTCATAGCGAAAGCTTTAGGGGAACGGAACATCGCATCACGATCACTCCCGCCGTGGACATCGGGGCTTGCCGCCAAGCGAGCTACCCTCACACAAGGACTCTCCTCGCACTCACCTGCCACCCAGCTTGCACTACCACTACCCAGACAACAGCACAATCAAGCAGCGGACGCCGAGATACCGGCGGGGTATGACACCAACCCGAGGACGATCGACAGTGGCAGGCTCCACAATGAGCGGCTGATACCCAAAAGACTCCGGCGAGGGCCCTACAGTACAGCATGGATGGACTATACCATGATGCCTGCTCTGAGGGACGTTAGCTCCATGCTATATGAAAGTAGCAGAGCAGGTATCGGATAATTACGGGACTGCCCCTGTCTATGTGGGCTCGAGACCACCCTGAAGCCAGCCCTTTCCCATGGAGAGAGCCTGGAACACCCCCTCGATACACCCGGGTGAAAACTACCAAAGCGACCTACTCAGACCTCATCTATGATTTGTAATGTATGTTGTTTAGCATAACAACCCTGTGTACACAAAACCTACATGGCACTCATGAGCACACACTCATATAGGTATTGCTGACATACTAGCAACGCACAACACACTGCAACCACAATGCAGCATATCATACGAAGTCACATGTAATCATCCAAGCGAGAACCTGCATACCTGCCAAGGGGTCAAAGCTATAAACACCTCAATGTGACACTGAGCGAGATCATCCTTGACAAGTACACATTTAGCCTAGCATGTACACTGCATATCACAAATGTCTTATAGCTTGATATCTTCATGGAAAAAATAAAAAACGGTGCTGTTTAACCTGCCACGAAATGTAACCCTTTGAAACTGCTTGCAGCGGCTGTCGTGGCTCTGCATGCTTGCTCTCATTTCATGCACAAATAAAATAAAGAATTTAAAAAAAAAAAAAATAAATTTAGAAACATAGAATGTGACGGCAGATAAGAACCATTCGGCCCATCTAGTCTGCCCAATTTTCTAAATACTTTCATTAGTCCCTGGCCTTATCTTATAGTTAGGATAGCCTTATGCCTATCCCACGCATGCTTAAACTCCTTTACTGTGTTAAAGGACTAACACAATACGTGCCAAAGACAGGACTAAAACAATACGTGCCAAAGCAAGGATTAATAAACTCTCCACCCTATTAATCCAAATGTCATTTACCCCTTGTTCTCCCTTATAGGCTTCACTAACATGGTTTAAATACTAAAATGAGAATTCAAAGAAAATTTCAAACCTGGTTATAACTACTCATCTCTAAAGTGTAGTCATTATATATTGACACATACACACCAAGAATTCCAACACAAAGCCTTGTACAGACTGGTGGCTATAGGAACTGAGGTCAGTCAAGGCTGCAAAATATCAATAATTGCAGAAAGTAGTAGGAAATAGAGAAAAAGTAAAATAAGAAAGATAGGTTACCAGATGAGGGATCTATGAAAGCCCTTTGATGCGTCATTGGGACTTATTTGGTAGATTTACTGTATGGCTCCTCTTCCTGCGCTCCGAGGGATCAGTCTGCTCGTATATTGAACGTGTGTTTGATTTTATGCAGGGAGTTTTTATGTTGGTTGTAAAGCCAGTTCTATATTGAGTTTTCAGGAAAAACTGGTCTGACACTGTGATACATGTTACAAACTTGTGACGTCCAGTTGACAATTGAGAATAGAATATGTCAGAATAATTAGGAGGTGTGATATTATTGTTAAATAGCTAAAGGGTGGCCATAGACTTAAAGTGGTACTTCGGTCACCATAACAACTTATTTATTTATTTCTACTTATAAAATATTTTACCAGGAAAGCTACATTGAGATTTCTCTCGTTTTCAAGTGTCTTGGGTCCACAAAACATAATGGAATTCCATATGATTCATGGGTGATAGAAAACCTTTTTTTGACTGTTTGTAAACGTCATGATTACGTGCCCAAATTTGGTCCCGCGAATGTAGTATTCAGTCACTTCATCTTAATGAAGTTGTTACAGTGTCAGGAGGCCCCGACCGCACTCTTACCTTTAAGGGTTAAACCGTTGATTGAACGCTTTAACCTCAAAGATTGCCTCCACTGCCGATCGCCAGGTCTCCCAGGCAGCTTCAGGCTTGTGAAACTGAGGTACAGTGAGCGTAGTGTGCCATCGGGCAGGAACGCAGCTGATTGGCCGGAGCAGTCAGTTGACTCTCGAAGCTAATTAGTAGCTCCCCAATAATAAAAAAAGGCAATGGGGAGCTACTGGTTGACTTAGAGCAGGGGTTCTCAACCCAGTCCTCAAGGACCCCCGAACTATCCAGGATTTAGGGATTACCCTGCTGTGTCTAATGTGTTTTTGGGGGGAGGGGGACAAACACTTTAGACACAACAGGGTAATTTCCTAAATCCTCGACTGGTAGGGGGTCCTTGAGGACTTGGTTGAGACTTAGAGCATCAGCTGGCGGCTCTAGCCAATCAGCGACTCCTCTACTGGAAGCACTCCACGCTTCCTGTAACTCAGAGTCAGAAACTGGATGCCGCCTGGGGGTTCCCAGAAATTGGTACTGGAGGCTACTTTTAAGGTTTAACAGTTTAACCCCTTAAGGTAAGCGTGCACCCAGGGGCCTACTGGCACCATAACAACTTAATTTAGATTAAGTTCCTTTTGGTTAAATAGAGCAATACAACAAGATATAGTATGTGGCTATATTATAGAATATGATATGAGTCACTATATAGTTATTGCAGAAAACTTTTCTATGCAACATTGTTGTTCTTAAAGAGGTAATGAAACGATCAATGAAAAGACTGTTCCATGTAAAAATAACACAGGTTGTCTGCTGTTGTAAATGGAAAGCAGTGGTGGGGGTTAAAGGGACACTCCACTCAAGCATAGTTGACTTGGGAATTTTTACAAATGATTCATTCACGTTTAATTTGTTGAAAATTCTCGCTGTAGCAAATAACCTAATTTGGACTGTGCAGAGTGTGGATTCTGACTGTAAAAAAAATCCAATATATTTCAATCTGTTGTTTTTTCCAGGTTTAATTGAGTAGTTTGAGCTCACATAAGAACTGCAATGGCCATTCTAATATGCAGAGCAACAGTTATATGACTGAACCCATTACTTGTGGATAGAGTTGAGCGAACCCGAACTGTAAAGTTCGGGTTCGTGCCGAACATTACGTTTTTTGGACCCCAGACCCAAACACGGACATTTCAGTGTATGTTTGGGTTGGAGTTCGGTGTTCAGTGATTTAACGGCGCGTTTTGAAAGGCTGCAGGGCAGCCATTCAATGAGCGTTTGACTTGTATGCCCTTAGAAGCCATCACAGCCATGCCTACTAATGGCATGGCTGTGATTGGCCAGTGCAGCATGTGACCCAGCCTCTATATATAAGCTGGAGTCACGTAGCACCGCACATTACATGAGCTGTTATTAGTGTAGGGAGAGGATGCTGCAGCTGTGAGGGACAGATTAGGACATGAGGACATGAGTTTAGACTGGAAGAAAGAAGATTTCGTCTAAGGCAAAGGAGAGGTTTTTTTACTGTAAGAACAATCAGGATGTGGAATTCTCTGCCTGAGGAACTGGTTTTATCAGAGGCCATACAGATGTTCAAACGGCTACTAGATGCATACTTGCAAGAACAGAATATTCAAGGATATAATCTTTCAATGTAGGGTAATAACTGCTTGATCCAAGGATAAATCTGACTGCCATTCTGGGGTCAAGAAGGAATGGTTTTTTTTGCCTTCTTTTGGATCAACAGCAAAAAACAAATGTGAGGTAGACTGAACTTGATGGACGCAAGTCTCTTTTCAGCTATGTAACTATGTAACTATGTAATTAGGAAAGAATTCTGGTGTTGAATCTGCACACTACAGCAATTATTCAAACTACAGTGATTATTATTTTTTTTGATTATTTTTTGTACCCTGCCCTGAGCCCAGTGCCACAGAGCGTGGAGTGCACTTGCAACTGCATGTGTGCCAGGCACTTTACTTTAATCCTGTTCTGGTAGCTCAGTGGACAACATCTAGGCAGTTTTAAATACTGCAATTTTTTTTGGTGCTAAATAGTACATTTGTGTACTGTATTTCTTGCAGTCTAATAAAACCCTTAAATACTACTGTTACATTGTTGGTTTTAAAAAAATCACACTTTTTTGTGCTAAATAGTACATTTGTGGCCTGCGGTGCACTTCATATCTGAGAGTCAAATAGAACCGTCAAATATGTGGTTACATCGCAGTTTTAAAAATTCAATTTTTTGGGTGCTAAATAGTACATTTGGGGTGTGCACTTCATATCTGGTGTATGTGTGCAACACTGTCTAGTTACCGCTTCTCAAGAAAGTCTAAAGACAAATAAATGTTGCCTATGGTGCAGGTAGTATAGAAGGCAAGACTGAGACAAATCATTCGGGTTAAGTTTGCCTGTTGACATGTTAATTATCTTAGACCATTAAAATTCAATAATCAATGGAAAAACACACTTTGTGTCATGCAAAAATTTGTATTATAGACAAGTTAAAAACAAGACTACAAGTCATGCTACAACAAAATTAAACAAGTTTTAAAATATGTATGGGCCAACCAGTGGCTGTAAAAACAAAGTTTTACTGGTTACATTCATGACTTCACACTCTAGTGAACAGGACCTTCATGTAGTGTGTTTTTTCTAAATCATACAGCATCCTTTCATGTGCTTTTCAGATGTCATATTTTTAATTACCAATTTTTGTTTAGCCTGATTTTTTTTTTAAAGTGAAAAATAAGTGTTATTGTGATCGCTTCATATACAGAAGCATTAATATACATTTCTATATTGTGAAAGACACAACTACAAAGTTAAAAAACAAACACCAAAACAACGTGCCAGACAACCTACCTGTGCTCAAAAGCGGAGCAGCTGTCCCCTAGCACTCGTCGGCTCTAGAATTACCACAGTTATCCAAGTGACAGATGGAGCGATCAAAGGAACCATAACTGATTTAATGAGCCATTTGCAGTTTCACTGTAGCGGCTGTGCATGCTTTCAGCGTTCTCACCCTGCTGCTTGCCTGTCTGCGAGCAGCGTAACTTCGGCCTTCCCGCTCACCGCCTCATATGCAACGTGCCCACACTGTGTCCCTAGTGTCTCCATGTCCTAATGTCTCAGTGTCTCCCAATGTCCCTATGTCTCACAGTGTCCCCTAGTGTCTCAGTGTCCCCATGTTTTCCAGTGTCCACAAGTATCTCAGTGTCCCCAGGTCTCCCAGTGTATGTGTCCCCTAGTGTCTCAGGCAATAGTGGAGTTTTAGCTGCAGCACGCACGGGTCAGTCGCTTTGCGGAACGGTCGCATGAACATCCAGGTGTCCGCTCAACTCTACTTGTGGACTATTAGCTACTAGGTTGAGTTTACTATGGAGAATATTCAAACCTTCAGTAATACAAAACCATTGCAGTAGATAGAGTGAGTGACAGCATAGTTTGTGAGGATACAAGTAGCCTTTGGGCAAGTTTTGCTACAAATGCCAATAAAGAGGTTATTGTTTGTTTAGATCTGCTCAAACTGGTTCCTCCTGTAAAAGGTATCAGATATTTCACACAACAAATGTAACAAGCTAACGAGACATTTAACATTAAACATTAACAGCTACTCTGCAATCAAATCATTTATTGGAATGTTTTTAACTTTTAATATACATTGCGTTGCAGAGTAAACTGTACATTGCAAAATCAAATTATTTAGAACCGGATAGTTTGTTTGCTAATGGCTAGTGATGTCGCGAACCCGAAATTTTCGGTTCGCGAACGGCGAACGCGAACTTCCGCAAATGTTCGCGAACCGGCGAACCGCCCGAAACGCCATTGACTTCAATGGGGAGGCGAATTTTAAAACACACAGGGACTCTTTCTGGCCACAATAGGGATGGAAAAGTTGTTTCAAGGGGACTAACACCTGGACTGTGGCATGCCGGAGGGGGATCCATGGCAAAACTCCCATGGAAAATTACACAGTTGATACAGAGTCTGGTTTTAATCCATAAAGGGCAGAAATCACCTAACATTCCTAAATCACAATCAATATGGATTGACACCTGACATATGACATATTGACACCTTGACATATGGATTGACACCTGTCCTCAGAGCAGAATAGAGACTGGTCCCCCTACATAGGGTCACTTGGCAGATATGGATTGACACCTGTCCTAAGGATCCCTGATACACACTGACACAGAGCAGAATAGGGACTGTTCCCCCTACATCGGGTCACTTGGCAGATATGGATTGACACCTGTCCTAAGGTTCCCTGATACACACTGACACAGAGCAGAATAGGGACTGGTCCCCCTACATCGGGTCACTTGGCAGATATGGATTGACACCTTGTTACAAACTGCTATTTGTAACGGGCCCTTTAAATGGCAAATTGCCCTGCTTCCCTGGGTTGTGGAGAAGCCTATTTGCCAGCCTCCTCCCGCATGACTATGGCCCCTGGGAGATTGAGAAAATGTATGCACTTTTATTTGGTGTGTATGGCCCTTTAAGACTGTCGGTGGGCATATTGGGGCTTATGGACTCTTTATGTGACTGGTGCTGGCCCTTTAAACACCTTTTTTGGGATATCAGGAAGATTGGGACACTGCCCCTTTAAGGCCGTGTCCCCAGACTTGTTGGGGACACGGCCCCTTTAAGACGGTGTCCCTGTGTCCCCAGACCTG